TAATTAAATAGATGAAACTGAAATAACTGTAACCATAGATAAAACTACATTACAAATAAAATTACATTTATAATTATAGTTTTTGTATTACATATAATTTGAAGCATTAAATTTTCCGTAAATGCATAATCTAGTAATAAAAAATGTGACATGTACTATTTATTATTAGACGGCGAATCTATTAAAAAATATAACATTAGTAGAAAGTTGTTTCGTGTACTAAGCAGTCCATTTTGAATATTTTATATATTTTGTTTTGCGCAATTTTGTACTTCAAAATTTCCTATAAATGCATGAAAATCTGCAGTTTATTTATTAATACGGCGAATACCTTCAAATATTATATATTGTAATATAAGTTTTAGTAATTTTTTATGTCACTTATGATTTTATGAAATTTGCAGAAATTAAAATTCTTATAGAATTATAACAAACTATTACACTAACACTTGTATTTAAACTCATGAGTCATTATTTGACCTCAATTATACCGTAAAATTCTTTAAAATATTTATTATTTTTACATACTTGTAAGTATTAATTTACATCCACTACTATATTTAATGAATGTAAATTAATAGGTACATATTTGATGGATTAATCGTTTAATAAATGCATTAATCGTTTCATAGAAATCTATATCTTTCTATATTCTATTAAATTCCTTAATTAAATTATTAATTATTTAAAAAATTACTTTAGAATTTATTTAAAAAATTATATTTAGTTTTAAGGTAATTATTTAGTGTTTAAGTTATAAATATTCACGTAAATAACTTTAATATATGTCTGTATATACATATCTGTATATACAAGAATTACAACTACTGTTTTCAGAAAAACAAAGTATTTTGATTATGCATTAAAATTAAAATTAAAGATGTTTTTACGATTAACAAATACAGTACTGAAATTTTAGAGAAAGGTAAAAATATCTCTCAGCTTTTTTTTATATTATATATACAGTAGCTACTGCTAGGATAATTTTGGATAAAACAAGAGTCTAAGTGACACAATCATGGTATATGATTGTTTGTTCAGATTAGAACCGACAAAGGAAACTGTTCTCTCTCCTTAACTCTGTCTTGATTTAAGCGAAGCGCCCCGTATTTGCTCTAGATTAAATGGAGCTTCGTGGCACAGCCCTCAGAGATATCTACTACGGCCTACTACAGTGCTTTATATTGTACATTGTATTCACAACCAGAACAGCCATGAAAATAATCGTTATAAAAATTCTTACGATTCCCTCACGAGCATACATGGTTGACTTTTGAATCGCATATAAATTATAACGAAGTTTTATCAATCGAAGGAACAATATGTACGTCCTCCTATTCGTATTGCATATCTTTCGTTGTTATTTATATTTCTTGTTAATTATGTTAGATTTTTTTATCATCCATATGGTATCTTTGTCGATTTATTAAGCATTGAATAATTTGTTAAATATTAAATAATTAAATAATAATAACAATATTGAATAGTTATAACAATTTGAATATGAAATAATTAAATAATACCGAATAATTGCGAATAATTTCAACAATTGACTGATTGATTTATTGAATAATTTCTTATTTACATATTTCTTTTCGGTATTGTAGGAATAAAATAAAGAGATATTTTATTCTACTGTTATTAAATAAAATTGCAGTTTATTAAAAAGGGATTTAACAGAAATTTTATTCTAATGTTATTAAATAAAATTGAAGTTTATTAAAAAAGGATTTAACAGAAATAAAAGTCCCAATGCTGGGGTTACAAAAAAACATTAACATTTAAACTTTTGCTATTCTCTCTACTCTCTAGAATGTGCCTTCTCGAAGCCTTCATCCTTCACGCACACATACACAACCTAATATTCCAAGTCCCAGGACTGGGCGGTTAAAATAAATATTCTCAGGTCCTACCTTCGCTTTAAACATTTCGAGTGACACTTCACTGGCGACAATTGTCTCGTTGTTGGGCAGTGGAGAAAGTTCCCAGCTCTTTCCAAGAACTCCCTATCCCACAGTATCATCTTTTACATTTAAATTTTGACTTTTAAATATGAACCTGTATCAAAGCTATTCTGCAGAAATTTATTCAATCCATGTATGCGACATGTGATAACTTGGTAACAAGTTGCAAGATGGGCATCGATAAATTCTTCTTATACATCGTATTTCAATATCAGAGTTGTATGCAAGATCCCTGGAGCATCGTCGATGAAACATAAAATAATGACGAACTTAACCGCATAATCGCGGAGATTAACTTAATAACTACAGTGAATACCTGAAGGAAAGGTAAAACCAGATAAGAAGAAAAAGCAAATGAATTTGCGTTTCCTGCAAGCAGCTGGTAAACACTAATAGTAATAAATATTGATTACTAGATTGTGAATTTTTATGCCTTTATAAGAGATTTAAAGATACAAGGTTGTACAAAATGGCATATAATTTGAAAAACAATGTAAATATATAACTAAAGTATAAAGCATCTTATAATATATGATATACAAAAACAATTTTTTACCGAGTTTCTACTTTTCTAGTTATTAAATATTAAATTTCTATTGAATTGACAAATGAAATGTCCAATTTGGTTACATTAATATTTTAATGCTTTGTATACGTTATTTAATCATCTTTCTTTTTTAAAATTTTTTCAATAATTTTTTTAAATATCTAAATCATTTTCCCTCAACATGAAAATCAAGAAATTGTTAAAAAGAATTTGTTGATATTAAAAACTCCAAATTTTTCTAAAAATAATTTATAATGACAGATAACAGAATATAATAAAAAATTCTTATTATGTGAAAAAGCTTATGACTAAATTAATCGATATAGTTAAATAATAAATTTAAAAAATTATAACTGATTGGAAAAATGTATAGATTATAGTCGTTCTTATTTCAATAAAATATTTAATAAAATATAATAAATATAAAATTAAAATTTAATAAATGTAAAATTAGAACTTTTAATAAATGTAAAATTAATTATAGAATTTAAATGTTATACTCATTCAAGTTATGATCATTTAAATATATACTTGTTTAAAAATCGAACGTTTATTACAATCTAATATATTCTCAAAAATATATATTTGCAGAAAAATCCGCAATCTATCGATTATTCAAGAAAGAAACTTATAGCGCTATATATATGTGCTGTTTTACATGTATTTCCTTATCTTTATACGATCTCTCTTTCTATCTCTTTCCATCAGAAACTTTTCAATCAGACATGGATATTCCAGAGAATTTTACTTGTTTCTTTTCCTGCTCTGTTACATCCGAATATTCTTTTCTGCTTTTTCAGTTGCTCGTTTCCTCTGTTTTGCTTTCAAAGCAGAATTTTTTGTCCCGGTTCATCTTTCGGTCCGTAATAATGACGTTCTATAATCAGGCGCATCCTGATAGATTCAAACGAGGAAGGAAAAAGAACCAAAGAGGATCGTGACTTATAAACGTCTCTGTGGACGTTCTATCTATCCGTTATTGATCTCAAATTATGTAAATAACGAACGTAGAAATTACAGACGACTGTATCCTGATCAAATTTAACGCTGTTTGATTTAACAATTTAGGTTCTGTGAAATCGAGCCTACTGATATCGAATTCATATTACTCGATTTATTATAGTATAATATATTACAAAAACAGACAAAGTATAACATATAGTTTAATTTAAAATTTTAATGATGAACTTTTTTCTATAATTTGTTATTCGAAATCTTTATAACTTAATAAGTTTTAAATAGATTACTATAAATAAAGTTACTACTATAATTAACGATTGCTTGTAAAATATATAATATTGTGTACGATTATATTTGTATCATTTCACTATGTATTTTAATACGTTTGTATTATTTGATTAAATTGATCTTCTATGAGAAAGAGTTTGAAATAATATTTTTGAAGCGAAGAAAATTAATGAACATATTTTAATATTCTTTCATCGTTTTCATTATCATTAAATAATTATATTTATATTTTAATATAGTTTAATAATGTAGTAAAATACTATAAAAAAAGAAACTATTGTTGTACATATATAAAAACTAATAAATCATAAGAAATATAATATATTATAATTCCTGATTGTTATAATTTTAAAATTTAATAAAATTTAATACACAAATAATTCTACATCATCTAAATTGCTTTCTATTTTATTTCAAAAATGAAACACTATCTATTAATTCTCGACAAGAATAAATATAAATGTTTATTAAAAACATATTTTTTTATGGAGATAATTTATTTTAATATTTTATAATCTATATATATATATATTTAGTTTACAATTTAATAAAAATCTGTTGTAATAAGTTTCGATTTGTCTCTATAAAATTTCTTAATGAATTCCACATTAAGTTATGTCATCAAAAAGCGTAAATTGTAAATTCTGCATATTAAAAGTTAAAGTATATATAATTGACTTACTGAAATTTCAAACGTTAAAAATTTCAAGTTGATTATTTTAAAAATATTAAGGAAAAACTCACTTGAAGAAATTTGAAAGTTTGTAGAGCTCTGCGAAGTGCATTTCGCGACCCGCCATTTTCAAACTTCAAAATTGCACGTAAAACGGCGCGTAAACGTGTCGCGAAAATGCAACAAGTAACATCCGAGCGAACGAAACAAAAGCGCGCGCTACGACTGATTCGCGAGCTTCGTTACGCTTCGCCGATTTTCAGAAAATGTTAACATCTCCCGGTGTATCGATTATGAAAACGAACATTTGACACTCCGAGAGAACCGTAGCTTAATTATTCTCCCTCGTAAATATTAACGACTTTCCTGCGAATCGCAATTCTAATTCTTTCGTTTGTTGTTTGCATCGAAAAAACCGTGACCGTCCGATCCGTAGAATGGCTAGAATGAGCATTTCTCGTGGGTGGACTTCGGCTACATTCGGCCAGACTCGGCCGGTCTCGGCACGATGAGCCTGCGTCGACCCCGGTCGACCCATGGCGGTCGGAGCACACAACTGGTTGTGGCTTTCACGAGGCAAGTACTCACGTCGCGCGCTCTTGTTCCTCGCGTGTGCATTCCTTCTTCGTTTCTTATTTTCCATTAAATCGTTCAGCTTGTCTCTCATACGCGCTATCTCACGAATAAACGGCCACACTGTCGAAGCAGCTTGTTAACGTTTTGCAATTGTAATATCTCGAGTGTCGTGATACAATTCAACGAGTTTTTTTTCTCACGCGACGAACTGTCAAAATACATATAAACAAGTCGTGCGGTATTATCGGAGCTTCATATGTACATACGTATTCTCAGCCGAGCGTGAACATTGTAAAACAACGTGTTGTCACGTGCGCCTGCACCCGTGAAATCGGCACCGATTTACGATACTCGTGGACCATGAGTCGTGCTAGAAGACATTAACTGTTGTTAACAGCATAACGTAACTCGTGTTTACGGCTACTCGGTACGTACAACCGGTTAAGCACGTGGTGGACACGATGCTCCTAAAATTGGCAGTGTTGCTGTTCGTTCTTGTGCGGCCAGGTGCAAGTTACTTCAACCTTTTTCTCAGCCAGGCAGAAGTGCGGAAACTAATGGGTAAGCAAAAGTGTACAAATTCGTACACATTCACGCTTATATTACGTCACTGTGTCTTTTTTTTAAATACATTTTTTTACATATACGTCTGTATACTGTGTACTCTGAATAACATTCAATAAAACTTTAGAATATTTCATTCAGACTATCTCATTTTACCGTTAATAGAATCTGATCTTGCAAAGAGTTTTTTTTTTTAATAATCTCTTGATTATGCTTTTACTTTCATATATGTAATTTGTAACAAACGTATTATTCTTACTTTATTATCTTGTATAAAGTATAGACACTCGTAATATAAACAAATATGGAAACATTTACGTCAGTTGTATTTAAACATGCTTGTTACGTTACAGACTGCATTACTAATTTATTACTATTAAAATAAATTTTTTACGTTTGTTATAATAGCAAATGTAAGAGAGCGATAAATTTTTTGTTATTGAAAACCATATTTACGAAGGTAATCATTGTTTGGAATGATAATATATTATGTGAATATATATATATATATATATATATATATATATATATATATATATATATATATATATATATACGCACATATCTTATGTGCAATTCAAGACTTTTTTAATCCGGGCAATCTACCATTATCCATTAAAATGCACAGTGGCGTTAAAAATTTAATTACCGATCAAAAGTCCATTGAGATAGTGATTAGTGCATGACATTATAATTGAGCAGCGGACAGTAAAGAATCGTTGACTTTAAAGGCTTCTAGCACCGAGATCTTATTTGACTAATGAATAATTATCATCATGTTACATGATTTATACGGCAAACTTATTACCTTTGTTAACAGTTGAAATCTTTAATATATGCAATTTAATATATAATCGTTGACTGTCGATGTGCTTAATAGACCATTGAAACGGTATAGGTCAAGTAGAAGTAATTTATAATGTAGCAATATCGTAAACCGTTGTACTTCGGTTAATTATAATTTATCGGTATTTGTTGCGGTGTAAAGACTCAAGAATGTGAAAATATATGTAAAATTAAACTAAGATGGGAAATATTCATTTTTATTTATTTCATATTTATTTTCTAAAATTTATAATACAAAATAAATATTTATAATTATATATAACATAATAAATATATAATTAATAATAATAAATAATATTTATTTTATGTTATACAAAATATTTTACATTATACATTATACATGTAAAGGTGCAAACATGGCCATGCAAAGATATTTAAAAAATTCAAAATAGATGAAACAAATCTTTATTTAGAGTTTATTTCTTTCAATCTGTAAATATAATTTGTTCAATGAGTCAATAAATAATATTAAAAAGTTTTTTGTGTTTGTTAAAAACGGATATTTCGCTTTAGAATTTTATCTTAATGATATGAAATATTCTACTCTATTATTATTTATTAGTGCAAATTATATCTTCCTGAGCAATAATTAACTAACCAATAATATTATACATTATTAAAAATTAATAACGATTTGCTAATTAATATTATACACTAAATTTTTATTGCTCTACAATTTTATATCGAATAAACTTATTAATTGGTTTTAAATTTACTTATAGAATTTTACTTGTTTTATTACAAAACTTATATAATTGTATATTATGTAGTTTATTAGAAGAGACTCGAAATAATAAATTGTAATTATATTGTAGCATTAATATCAATTATTATCAACTCTTTGAATAGTATAAAAAAAGTCCTGCTTTGATGGGAAAACCTTAAAATTTTGTTTTGCAAACAATTAAAATAAAACTATTTTATCATATTTTAAAATCCTGTGCCTTAAAGTGTTACTAAAGTAATTAAATATTTTCTCATCTTTATAACAATAGGAATAAAAATATATCATTTTGATCTAACATTCTGCAACATAAAAAGAATTATGAATAATATAAAACAATTACTATATTTCTGATGCCTAAGCGAATTAAATTTACATTTCATGAACAATACAATTAAATTTATGAAAATGACGTTTCTTTAATAGAAAATCGAAGTATTAAAGTTTGATATCCCAAATTGTATATAAATAAAATTATTCTTTCTTATCTTTCGCCAAAGTGTCGAGTCACTCATCTTGTACAAATACTTATGCCTTAAAACATTTGAATAGAAAACGATCGAACGGATATATATATATACGAATGCTCAGAAAGTATGGTTCAACGACCCATTAAAATCTCACGGACGACGTGGTTGATTCCAGGCAGTCCGACAAATCCGTCCTACGATACTCACTCGATCGTTTGTTCCATTCTCACGCTCTCAATTTTCATTCTTTCTCGTCACGCGTATGCCTCGTTTCGAACGCGTATTTCTTTTCTTTTTTTCATTTGTACTTGCTGTTAGAAATCGTCGCCGTGGCCCAGCAGCCATCGTGGAGGAGGAATCGTTGTACCGGAAACGAGTAAAAGCCACTCGACGCCACGAACTTTCCAATATTTCCACGATAACTTCCACGGCGGCGGATAATTCGCTCTCGGCTCGTTGATCCGCGAAAAACGTCGAGCCGGTTGGCTAGCATTGGCGCGCGTTGCGAACGCGCTGGAGAGAGATGCGTTTCGAGGACACACGAGGCCGCGCGAATTGCCGATTCGCTGATTCGCCGATTTGCCGATCCTCCTCAGCGGGGAAACCATCGCGTGCTATTGCGCGTTTTCAGCCACACACTTCGCGCCTCGTTCCACGGTCGACGACACGTATGTATGTGTGTATTTCATATGCATCTCGATTCACAGCCAGCAAGCCTCTTCGGTTAACTCGAACGTGATCGTGTCAAAAGCCTCGCGTGAAATTGAATTGTATTTAGCGCCGCGCCGTTCCAACGGAATGAAAGGAATCGGATCGTACGATTCGCTATTTAGAGACGGCGTTATTAATTGCGCCTATAAATTCGAAGCGTATTAGCAGCGCGGCGCCGTTCGGTGAAACGAAAGCGATTGAACCGGTGCGCCCTGAATCGAGTCTACCACTATTGTTTAATGTTGGATTGTTCTGAGATGTAGAGATTTTGTATTTGTAAATATTGCAAATATATCTATATACGTGATTAATAATCAAGTGTGTGACAATTACGTAGACGGGATGGGATCATGAACATGATACGGTATAATAAAGTGATATGAAGATTAGATAATATTGTATTAAAATATTATCTTGTCTAACTCAGTTAAGAAACAAAAAATTAATATATCTATATATGATATGTCCGTTATCAAATTTCTTATACCTTACATTAAATGCTCAATTATATATATATATAATTAATAATAATTTATAGTTATGTTTTAAAATATACTGTACAAATTACCTCTTTCCTATATCTTGTTCTTTATATTTTTGGTTTTTATTTGCATACACGACTGTTTCGTCGCATATTCCAAGATAACTTTTTGTAGGATTGTTGCAAGGCCAAGGTCAAGGTGAAACAAGATTGGTAGGATAAAAGAGGAGTATCGAATATGCACGGAACGTAATAAAACATTATAACGAGGTTCTTGTTAAACGAATACAGCATGGGCTGGCTAGTGGTTGGCTACAGGAACGGGCCCTAGTTTGTTTAGACACCGAATAATCGACAGCCGTCTCCTTTTCGTCTTGTTTTCGTACGAGTCGTTCGGTCCTGTTGCTTTTTTCTCCCCCCTTGGTTTCTCATTTTAGTCGAATGGCCACGCTGGCCGGTCTGAGCCGGGCCTGGGCTCAGATAGAGCCCACGATACCGATTTCGGTGAGTCCCTTGGGTCGCTCTCCATATGGACCCACGAGTTTTTCGAGCTGTATCCACGCTTCCTGGAAGAAGGAGGTTTCCAATTTCGGTCTTTACCATAGGGTTTCCCGTATTCGCTCGCGTTCCTTCACGAACAAGCGTCGCAAGAAATTGATCTCGATCGGGCCGTGTTTCACTCTATCGCCTCGTACGGCCTCGATCATAATGGAAAGGAGCGCCGATGAAGATATTGACTGGTGATTAATTATGGTTATCGGCTTGTACCGTTCTCAAAGCAGTTTTCGAATTAAGTCTCATGGTGTAAAAAGAAAGAAAGGAACACGATACACGAAGGCGAGAGCTCGAAGTCGGTTTTATCGCGAGTCGAAAATCGAAGGTGCTCGTAAGAAGCCACTCACGAGAAATGCGTTAAATCTTCACGCTTTGAAAAATTATAAGTACAAGTCACGTTGTTTGAGAACGTTGTATATACGTTTTTTTATATACCGGGGCAAGATGAAGATAAGGGAAACGTTATTTGCACACGTTTATCTTGTATTCTCCGTTGATTTCTTTTTTGCTCCAATATTTTTGATGTTCCTCGAGGCGACTTTCTTTTCCCGTTAAATCGACGTCCGAAGACACCTCACGACCCTAAAATTTTCGAGTTATCTTAAGGTATTACAGTGCTTACGAGCTTGCTACCACTTCGGTATCATGTAGTATTCGTTTCGGATAAGATAACTGAATACCATCGATGCCACGTTACATTCCTGTACGTTCGGCTTCTCGCTCTTGAAATCGACAAGTAAATTACAATCATCGATTGATCGAGATGGTCACTGTTATATTTCACGGTTATATTTTGTCGTATAAAAATAATAAGTATTGCGAGAAATATTATGTGAATTAGCAAGAATTTTATTTTTAGTTGTAATATACAATTGGATTTCTGTTTTCTTACTTTCGCCCAGTTTCTCTTTATTATATTTACGACGGAATTTTATTCGAAGTAAAATGAACAAATAATTACTTTAAATAAGATAAGGAATAAACTTGTTTCAAAATAAGAATGAATGAAAATAAATTACAATGTCCCTGAAAAATATTTGAAGAATAAATTATTTTCAAGTGATAATTTCAGATAATAATGCAAAATAACAAAATAGTAGCTTTTACATCGATATATGTATTAAAATCGTTCCATACGAATTTTTTCATTACGATAAAATGAAAATTATTTTGCTGGTAAAGTCAAGTACTTTCGTCTCAAATAAAATTA